TATATGTCTTAAATTAATCCTAAAATATATTCAATGCCAATGGTCTGTTGACAGCAAATACTTTCAGTTTTTATCATAGAGTACATTTTGTTGTATTGCCATCTTTCTTACAATGGTTTCCCTGGGTATATAATTGTATATTGACAGTAATATTTTCCTAGCTCCTTTTTAAGATGTCATTCCACTATCTTCTTGTTCAACTGTGGTTTTAAAAAGTTACGTGTTTATAGTGGTTCTAATATTAAAATAGACAATGAAATGAATTAATTAAGTTTAGAATCTTCATGTTGAAACTGAATAAACTCTGACTGTAAAAACCTTAAAATAAAACAAAAAATACTTAAATTACTCCTGCATTTGGAAATATTAAGAAAGACTTCTAAACAATTAAGGAGTCAAAGAAGAATTTTTAATGGAATTTACACACTAATTAAAAGTGGATGATAAAACATTAGATATCAATGTATGGAATACAGCTAAAGTTGAAATTATTTTAATAGTAAGAAATGTATAATTTTAAATTCTGATATAAGTAAAATCAAGGCTGAAAGTAAATGAACTAAATACGCAATGGGTGAAGTTAGAAAAAGCAAACAGAATAAACCCAGAAAAATTAGTAGGAAGTAAAAAATAGAAAAGCAGAAATTAATGAGATATAACAGAAGCATAACATAAGGAGAATAAAAAAAGAACAGTTGGTTCTTTACGAGACAAAGTAAATAGACATATCAATGGAATCATTGATCAAAAAATTACAGTGAACAAGTTTAAAATTATAAGAAACAAAAAGTGGTCATAAATACAGATAAAGCAGAAACTAAACAATGTCTATATTATGAAAAACTTTATACTTAATCTTACAAATATAAAATTTACCTGAACTATATCTTAGAAATAGATATCCCTATCTAGTTTAAAAATTGCAAAGTTATTTACAAATCTTGACACAAAATATTAGGTCTAGATGTTTGTCCAGTTAAGTTCTGTCATTCAAAATTTCCACTTTTGTGCACCTTCTGTAATAGTATAGAAAAAAGAGAAAACTCTAACCCATTTTATTAGTACAATATAACTTTAAAACCATAAGCAATCATAGGAAATATATGATAAGAAATGTTGATAAATCTCAATCATGAATATAGGTGCAAAACTAACAAGCAAAATATTAGCATAGCAAATTTGGCAATGTATGAAAAAATTCATTTATCAAGACCAACTTTGGTTTAATCCAGGAATACAAAGTTGGTATACCATTTGTAAATCTATAGACATAATTCACTACATCTTAATAGATGCAAACTTAGAGCATTTCATTGAAGTCAATATCCATTCATGATAAAAAGTATTCAATGCAGAAGATATATTACTACCATAAAGTAATATTATCCACAAACCTATGTCAAACATTTTATAAAAGTATGAAATATTAAGATATTTATGTTTAAATATGAAAGAATTAAGGATTCCTACTATGACCAATTTTATTAAGGATTGTACAAGAGATACTAGGAATTCAAGAAGACATAGGAAAAACAGAAGGTATAATAATTAGAAAAGAATAAATGCAATTGCCATTACTCAGAGATGAGAGACTATTGTTCACAGACTTCAAAATAGCTATAAAAATGTTAGAATTGAGATGATTTATCATTTTTTGGATATAAAGTAAATATACCAAAGCCAATTGTATTTCTAATGGTAGCACTGAACAGTTAAAATAAATTTAGAAACATAATATTTACAATAGCAGTAAAGAATATAAGATTCTAGAAATAATTCTATTTACAAGGCCTTTATGGGGAAACTTCTTAAATTTTTTTGAAAATCATTAAAGAAGACATAAAGAAATGAAGAGACCCAGCATGCTCATCTTTAGAAATATTCTAAATCATAAAGATTCTATTTCTCCATAAAATTATCTATAGATTCAATAAATTTCAATCATAATCCTAATACAGTCATGAGACATAACTGCTTTGTTCTAACATTTATATGTAAGATCAAAGTGCCAAGAATATTGCAGATGGTCCAGAGATAGAACCAGGCAGATAAACTTGGTATAAGACATTAAGAATTATTATAATTAACATGCTGTGCTAATGACTCAGGGATAGGCAAATAGAGAAATATAATATTAAACTTAATCCATAAACAAATACAGATACATTTGTAAATTTGATGGTACTCAATTGTAGATCAGTGATGCTTAGGTAAATAGTTAACCTTATGGAAAATATTAATGATAAATAAAAATGTGTG